TTAATATCAATGTTCAGTTTGCAACTGGTTAATTCAGGTTGTGAAAAAACCCTTTCTACACTCATGCTCTTATGCTGCTCCATCTTGACTACAGTCCTCCATCTGATATTTTTATGTGCTTTCGTGTTAAAATATTCTTGTACAATTTTGGGTATCCACTTATTTGCTTTGCAGCAGTCATGGATCAGCTTTAACTAATTATTTATGCAAATTAGAATTTAATTGTCTGCTTTCTTGTCTTTATTTTTTTTCTTGTTACCAGGGTGAAACAGTGGTGTGTGATTCTGTCTTGTTAACCTTTTTCTTAATTTTGTTTAACCTCTAATTGCTTACATTTTACTTGCACGTATAAACATGCCTAGCATTATTTGGATTCGCTTCCTGTTTGTGCACCTGTTCAACCAGTGTTTATTTAGATGGCATAGTTTTCCTTCACTCAATATTAAATTGGTTGGCAGGTTTCCTAAGAACTAACTGAATCAGCTTCAGGTTTTTGTTGGTTAATGTGCAGAAGTGGGAAAGAGATTCAAATGTTGATATTATACTGGTTCAGAAGTACAAATGGTGGAATTCTTTGAAGAGAGGACTCACTCTGATACAATGAAAGAAACTCAAGGGTGTTCTAAAGTTATCAAAAAGGAATTGGCACAACAAGCACCTATAGAGGTACAATGCAATCTACTCTATAACTTCTGCTGAGCTTTGGAATTTGCAAAAAGTTCTAAAATAAAAAAGTAAAATTTATTATTGGGACATAATGCTTTCAAATCAAAGGTTTCTCTACAGTCATAAAAATTGTCTCATGAAAAACCAAAAGGCAATATTCTTTATATTTCTTTAGACATTTATACCAAGGGAATGTGAGGCATCTATCTAAATTCATTGTTCTCAAACTATCTTCATAATCCAGGCATCAACCTCTTTGTCTTTTGTGTTTCACTAACCAAGTTTGAACACTATATTACATTAGTTATATTTCCATGAGAGTTTTCTTCAAAGATATGTCTTTACTGCAAATTTCATGCTAATATACACAATGTCTTTGTCCTATTAAGTACATTGTTGATTCCTCTTTAAGTTTAGCATTGGAGAGCATACCATGCCACTGTCCTGTCATTTAGCATACGGAGTGGACCAGATGCAATAATGTCTAGTTAATTGAAATCTCCAGTTGACTTAGTAAACAACTAGTCTTGTTAAGAAAACATGGAATTGCTCTATTCTGCAAAACTAAAAGTGATTACTTAGCAAACAGGAGAACAAGCTCTAGTACATTTTGAGAAGATAATATAAGGCATCATTACTTACTGTAGAATTGAATTTGTTTAAAATAGATGCTGTATTCTTGATCATAATTCATAGGTGGAATCACAAATTGGAACCTATGCTTATGCGGAAGCTTCCAAGGTGTTCTTTGGTGAAGCAAAGCTTTCATATAAAGAATCCCAATAACAAAAAACAGTAAATATGTGCATATCAAAATTAATCTAACATCTGTCATTTCTTAATTTCCAAAAGTTGCACAAGTTTGACTGTTATCACTTCTGTGGACATTAAGCTTATAGATATTTGACATTCAGGTACTGACTACTTGTTCTATTTTCCAGGAGAAATCTATAGATAATATGATTCAGTTACATCCAATACCAGAGTCAACTCTCTGTACATTTTGCATGAGTGGCAATATTTGTCGAACAGTTCAGTCTAGAACAAAACTAATGAACATTCTTTTGGAAAGAGGGAAGCCTCAGGAAGCTCAATCTATTTTCAACAATTTAATTGAAGGAGGGCATAAACCATCTCTAGTGACATATACAACCTTATTAGCTGCACTGACTGTCCAGAAGCGCTTCAACCACATACATTCAATCATCTCTCATGTGGAAGAAAATGGAATGAAGCCAGATTCAATTTTTTACAATGCTGTTGTCAATGCATTTGCTGAATCTGGCAATATGGAGGAAGCCATGGAAACTTTGTTGAAGATGAAGGAGAGTGGGATGAAACCGACAACTAGCACTTTCAACACTTTGATTAAAGGATATGGGCTCATTGGAAAGCCTGAAGAATCTTTGAAGGTACTTGAGTTGATGTCTAAGGAGGAAAACATAAAGCCCAATTTGAGGACCTACAATGTACTCATTAGAGCATGGTGTAATAAAAAGAACTTGAAAGAGGCTTGGAATGTGATTTCTAAGATGGTAACTTCTGGTTTGCGACCTGATGCTGTAACTTACAACACCATTGCAACAGCATATGCTCAAAATGGCCAACCGGAAAAGGCTGAAGGTTTGATACTTGAGATGCAGAAGAATGAAGTGCATCCAAATGAAAGAACCTGTGGCATCATCATAGCTGGGTACTACAAAGAAGGCAAAGTAAGGGATGCCTTAAGGTTTGCATATAGAATGGTGGATCTTGGAGTACATCCCAATCTTGTTGTTTTCAATTCCCTGATCAAAGGTTTCCTGAAATTTTCAGACAGAGATGGTGTTGACGAGGTTCGTTTAACTTGTAACATTTTAGATCGATATTCATTTGTTCAGTAATTGTTTTTCATGTCTAATAAATAATCCATCTCTCTCTCTCTCTCTCTCTCTCTCTCTCCAATTTATCAACTGATTCATCACCTAATATACCATGCATGAAACAGTTTATTGGGTGCTTGGTGAGAAAGCAAAACAATGTCACAGTATCTGATTTAATGATTGTTTGATGATAATCATATTTACACGCTGCTTGTGTTTTTTAAGTGGATATCTTCCCTAAAGACAAATTAGTCTGAAAATTGCCTATCTAGTGGTACTTCATCATTCTCATAATATTGTGGTGCATATGTGTCATAAATGTAGAACCGTTGCCCAGAGTTGTATGCATAGACAATGAAATTGGAACCATTTGATCAAAAGCAGTGTTAAATGCAGAAGCAACTTACTCAAGTGAAAGTAAAGTAGCTACTTTTCTTTGCACGATGATGTCAGTGCTCACTCATTTGTTTTACGATGTAGATCAGTTAGCATAATTTAAATAAATAAAAGATTTACATTGGTTGTGTGCAGTAAGTACTACTTTCTGTAAATGGGAGCTTGAGCAATGGGGATAATTCAAATTTTCTCATTGGAGTGTTAATTCACATTTTAGAACAGTAAAAAACCAAGTCTTTGAGCATGTAGTTGATGACAAGGGGAGTGGATTTGAGATGGGGAAAACCCAAGAACAAGAGTCTCACATAGTTGACTACAGGTTGCAAGGATTTTGTATTTTTCATGTATTTTAATCTTGTTAGCATGGTGTTTGAAAAAATCATACACATTGAAATGGCATAAAAAGTCTTTGTAGTTTCTGAGGTAATGCGATCTACAAGTATGTTTTCCCTAACTACAAAGTAAAAACATAACTGTTGGAATGTGATTTATATGAAAAAAGGTATCTTATTCAACACAGTAGAATATGAATATAACTGTAAATTGGATAGGTTTTCTTATTATCTGCTTGCTTACAAATACAATTTAACTGCTGGAATTTGATAACAGCATAAAAATGAATATAGCTGTATCTTGTTCATTGGGAGCAAAATGCTGACAATAGTTGAAACTTATTTGATAGGTTCTCTCCTTGATGGAAGAATGTGGTATAAAACCAGATGTGATAACTTTTAGCACCCTCATGAATGCCTGGAGTGCCGCAGGATATATGATAAAGTGCAGGGAAATCTTTGACGATATGATAAAAGCTGGTATTGAACCTGATGTCCATGCATACAGTATTCTTGCTAAAGGTTATGTGCGTGCACTGGAACCAGAAAAGGCAGATGAACTTCTGAATATCATGGTTGATTCTGGTATTCGCCCAAATGTAGTGATCTTCACCACTGTCATTAGTGGATGGTGCAGTGCCGGTTCAATGGAATGTGCAATGAGGGTTTTCCAAAAGATGTGTAACTGCAGTATATCTCCAAATTTGAGGACTTTTGAAACCCTAATTTCAGGATATGCAGAAGCAAAAAAGCCATGGAAAGCAGAAGAAATGATCAAACTCATGAAGGAGTTCAATATTCTGCCTCAGAAAACAACCTTTCTGCTAATTGCAGAGGCCTGGCGTGCCGCTGGACTAAGTAAAGAGGCAAATCGGATAATGGACTCCATAGAAAAGCAAAGCGTGAATTACCAGCTAGATACGGACAATGAGACAGCAGTGCAAAGCTTAGAGAAAATTTATCAGAAGGATGCAGTTGATTTTTCACGTCCCAAGCTGCTACAGATCCCAGGTGAGCCTGTGAATGATCATAAGAGCTTAGCTGCTGCAACTAAAAAAGGCCGGGCAGTTTTAGGAGAAGCTGAACTTTCCTCTGAGACCCTATGCACTGCTACCAGATCCATGTATCTTGCTTGTAGGTTTGGACCAAGAAGTCCAATTGTTTGCCCGAGGCAATATCAAAGGCAGCTTTATATCTCTGGTCAGCTGCCACACTCCTGTACAGTGGGGTTCTTGAACTGAATTGAAGGGGAAGTGCAATGAACTTACACCAAACAGTGGAAGAACTGATGAGAATGGCAACTGATCTCAACGACAAGCTGTGGTACATAGACAAGGGACTATGTATAAAATCCCAAGCTTCCTGTACAGCTTTTCGAAGGTTTTACTTATCTTGTAGATCAATCTTTTGTTCATCACATTGATCTGCTGCATGGCAGTATAGAATTGACAAAAGTTTACCCGTGTATATTACAAGGCTGCTCTAATATTCCAGCTAATGCAGAAATTAGACTTGCTCTTTGTTTAAATTTTATATCTCTACTACCCGAAAAGCTGCAGGCATGTGTAATTGGCCAAGCTAAACCCTGCACCAAACAGCCCCGGGGTTTCTATCTCCCTCCAGAACAGAAGAGAAGTAGAAAGGACACGTCTCACTTTAAAAAGAGATTTATGAGTTTCCTCTTGGAAACTTAATGGCAAATGGAAGAATTTTGTGTCCGATAAACAAGAACATGCAAAGTTGATGCCATGAGTACAAGCTTCAATTCAGATATCAATTTTAATGTTCCACCAATTAATGCAAATGAGGAGCAAAATGTTGTCGATGGCAAAGGTTAATATTAGACCATATGACACGGCAACAGGCATGCAATAACTTTCAAAAAACAAAAACAGTCCCATACGTGCCACTACTTGCAGCCGCAGCAACCAGCGTTTGACGGTAAGTCCCAAATTCAGACTGAAACATCATTGGCACTCTTCTTCTTCTTCTTCTTTTTTTTCTTTTCACCCTTGATGTTCTTGTCAAGTAGATTGGCAATAGAGAAGAAATGCTTAACCCAGAACATTGCTAGGTAATTGCTTAAACCTTAATCGTGTTGATTTCTGTTTCAGTCTACTTACAAATACAGGGTGAAATTTTGATTGACACACAAAGGCATCAATCAAACTTCTAAAAGCTAGATTGTTTAACATCAGTCAGTCTTTTCTCCTCTGCATGTTTGAGGTACTCGTATTTGATGGTTGTGAGGGAAATCTGCTGAGAAGCCATATCAGAGCTACACCAAATAGGGCACCAGAGAGATGTGCTATGTGATTGACATTCTGTAAGGCAAAGCCTCCTCGAAAACCACCCGCTAACCCTGTTGAAGCTTGTGCTGCTTCCATCACCTGGTGTTACACATTCAAAGAAACTTGAACATAGTATCTGCACAAAACATTCCAATTTGCACATTTTGCTAATTGAAAGGACAAAGAAGTTTAATATTTTGCTCAATTTCACTTCAATTTGCCAAACTGTTAATAAACTTCTATAATGCCCCCTTTCAATCAATAAACAATTTCAGTTTATTATTCTCCCTTTGCAACTTTTGTGCATTGCTGATATTTTTGGTTTGGCCAGTTTTCATCACCTGCATCTGTCCTCATGTTTCATTCTCTCTATTTGGTTGAGAAAATACCATGTAGAGCACAAGTTGATGACTGGGTAGAACAATCAATAAGGATGGTGTGATAGCTAAGTTCATGACAGCCAAGCAACCAGATGGTTATTGCATGTGAAAAATTCACCGTCTCTCTAGGTTTTATCTGATATAACCAAGCTGAGCAACCATATTGAAATAGCATCTTTTATCTGATTAGACAGTTTGCTGTCAATGAGCAGGACAGTTCGCAACAAAAAAAAAAAAAATCTTCTCCTCAAGCAAGTACATGGACCTGACGTGCATGCATATTTGATTGCTAACAAACTTGTGTATGCACTCAAAAGACAAACTGGAACATTGACACTATCTACCACAAAAATTGTACTCTCAAAATTTGTGATCAGTAGTAAATGTGGCAAATGCTAAGTAATACTTAATAATCAGCTATGATAAAACAAATGATGACAGAAATTGAATTTGCATCCATGATAATTTGAAGCCAATCTCATTTATTAGGTATATCACCAAAGCCTTCCTTAAGAAACAGATCCTTTGTTGACAGAAACTGGCTCTGGAGCCAAACACTCTGAAGCTAACCTCATTTAGTATGTATACAACCAAAGCCTTGCCTAAGAAACAGATCATTTGTTGCCAATCTGTAAAGTATGTGCTCTACAATGGTATAACTTCAAGCTATGAAAGATCATAGACCAATATATGAAGACGACTGATGTTATAAAGATTGCAAATAAGAGGATATATTTTGCAATTTCTGTCCATACACTTCCATTGAAATAATATTTGAATTCACTATAATTTGGGAAGGGATATGAGATGGTTAGGTTCATTAATGTAATCTATTCTTAAAGCAGCAAGACCAATCTACTATGTTAAGATAATAAAATGCAATGTAATGCAAGTTAAAGAGTTCCCTGAGTCTGCAAAATATGTGCAGTGTGCACCACAATAATTGTTCGCTGAATTAAGGGGGAAAGGAGTATTATGTACCTTTTCAATTACAAATTGGCCCAATATAAGTACCTCAAGAATCTTCCTCCAGTCCAAAGACATCTAGAGAATAACCAAATAAGTTACTTAACATGTTCCAAGGAAGGAAAAAAGAAGAAACTACCATCTTATGGCACAAGTATCTCATTTTTTCTCGTTGATCTCCTACTGATGCATAGAAACAGAAGAGTATACTCACCTTCACAAGGACACTAATTGCAAAGAGTCCGAAAACTGCACCGGATGCTCCAACAGAGACAGCATTTCTTGGGAGAACCAGCCATGAAACAAGATTTGCTCCAGCACCTGTTATGATGTATGAAAGCCATAACCCAAAGTTTCCTTCTTCCTCTTCAACAAGTTTACCTGGGTGGCAAATATATCCAAACTATAGCTTATACTTGAACATGAGGCAAATAATATCTTCATTAAACTAACATCAGGTTACTTTAAATTTGACTTACCAAAAATATACAAGAAGAACAGGTTACTTGAAAGATGTTTCCTGGTAAAGAATTACAAAAAGTACTGTAAATATCAAAAGCCACAGGCACATGTAGAAGTATTTTCAATGAGTGAAACTGAACTGGAATCGCATCGATATAAAATAAGAGATTAGAATTTTGGCCTACTTTTATGCATCCCCAGAAGCAAAGATTTCTTACCAATTAAAATGGCAGAATGTTGCAGTCAAAAATTGATACCAAGCAGGCCAGTTGTGATACAAATACAAAGCTTTAATTGCACGCACCTGATAATTAAAGAAAATTTGAATTAGCACTAATCTTAGCATGTACTGCCAATAGTCTAATAAGATAAGCCAAATAGATATTCCAGGATGATATCTTTCCTTAGGTTTCTAAATAAGATTTTTATTTAATCATAAGGTAGAAATGTGTGTGTGTATATATATATATATATATATAAAACCAGTTAAATTCCTTCCTGAATTTGCACAGAAACCGAGACTGAAAGGATATCAAATTAAATGCAACCCACATCAATATCATGATGTGAAATATTTCAGACAAAGTAAACAAAAGGACAAGTACACAGCCTATACACAACCTGAAATACATGATCAGCAACATATATTCCAAGATTAAGAAGTAGAATCCAGAATATCCCATTCACACGCTTCTCTGGTTTCTGCCTCCCTTCGAGCTTCCCAAGTTCCAACTGTGATACCATATCTAGTAAAAGCATCACATAATTTGTTCAAATATTTTATCTGTTTCTTTTCTTTTTTAAAAAAAATTAAATCTTAGAATGAGTAGTATAGAAAAGAACAAAAAATGTATATAGACATATTTAAATGGCTCATAAAAGAGCAAAGGAACCCAGATTAGTACCAACAAGCACAGGAAACATGATAATTTTGCAAACTAATCACAGAAAAATGTGCTCTGATGTTTTCAATGACAACTTCAAATATTCTGTTCTTGGGAAGAGTAATCTTGCTTGTGCTAGAAAGTGAAAGATGCTTCTTTTTACATTCAAAACTAGGTAAGGGTGCAGAAAAGACCAATTAAATATGTTAACATGAAATGGAAGCTAAGTTTCTAGTGATGTAATAAAGTGAAAATCACAGCAGAAGAGCTGAATGAAGTAAACCAAGAGTTATTTCAGAATGTGTGTGTATGTGTGTCCATATATATATATATGTATGTATGTATGTATGTATGTATGTATGTATGTATGTGTATATGTATGTGTATATGTATATATCAAATCTTAGTTCTTGCAAAACTAGAAGTCTATCCCCATTAGTAAAGTACCATTTATATGAAATCAATATAACAGTTAACAGTTCATGAATAGAAGTTATACCGTACTAAATGATCAAATAATCTCCCTTTTATTATCTTCCTTTTAAGATTTACGGTGTCATAAGAGCATGTAGTGGGCGTAATAGGCTTGGCACAATGTTAGGCAGGCACATGTGTGGAGGAGAAAAAAGAAAAGCAACTCTGAAATGGTAAGATCAAAATAGAACAGTTGAACAGAAGAAGCTCACTACCTGTATGCAAAGAAGCTAAAGTGCAGCAGGTAGGAAGTTTCAGATTTAGCCTATGCTCATACAATGAAAATTGAACCAACCTATATCAAGGGGTTTAGGACTATAACACAATAAAAGAACTGAGCAGTTGAAACTGAGATAAACAATGATCTATATCAGCAGAGATCTTAGCAAAGCAAGTTACAACTTCCATAAGTCAACTCCCAGCAACGTTTTATGCCGTGTCCTGTGAGAATTGATACCCTTTAATGGCCTACATTAAGTCTTGAAATGCTCGGGTCAGGTCCTCAAATAGCCTGCTATGGATGTGCCAAGGCCTTCCTTAGCTAGGTCAGCAAAGAGAGGTTTAAAGAAGCACCCTCATTGCATGAAAACTCATTTAAGGCATGCCCCACTAGGTCACTAGCTATTTGTTTATAACTGGCTAAACAAAAGAAGCCATCTTCTGTGCTGCTAACTATACAGAACGTCATCCTGGGTAGTTTGTTCCTGCTAGGTAGCAAACTTGTTGATTCCAGGTGAATGAATATAGGCTTTAATTTCTTACATTCTTTTTCAAATTAAAAGGGGGGAAAAATAAGAAAAAGAGCACGACAAATTTCAGAAATATCTTCACTTCATGAAATAGAAGAAACTCATAAACTTTGAAATTGGTGGGACAATCACCATAGATTTGTGGAGTCCAAAATCTTGGCATTCATGCGAGAAGAAGCAAGGGTAGCTTCTCTCTGAAACTAGTCTCTACCATTATGCGCATCAGTGTTAACTCAAATGACTTCCCTCAGGAGTTTGTACTTCTTTTCATGAAGTTGTTCTCTAACCATTGAGTTGAACTCCCAATCTCCTTCAACAATTTTCACTGCCTATGTTTCAATCAAGTCGTGGATTATCTTTGGCTCTTCCACCAACTAAAACAACTAGAAGCATGATTAAGTAAAAAATTCTCTCAGCTGCTACCATTCACATCATTTTCCTCGGTTGGATTCCAGGATGGACATTGGGCAGACAAAGGAGTAGGTTGGGCACCTCACATTCAGTTTATTAAACATCGTATTTGACTAAAAATGTCATACATCATCTTCCTTTTGAGTGCCTGCGTTTCCTGAATAGGTCCACCGCATGGAAATCCACTTCTCTTTCTAGAGGAATTCAAGTTGTAAAGTCGATTTCTTGAACGACTAAAAACATTACAAATATGTTGTTTACATTTTGATTAAAAATGACAATTTTAAGATACATAATCACTAGCAAATCATTCAAAACCAACAGAAACACAACACTTAACACAATGCACCAATCACATTCTTTTACCTTGATTCTCAAACTATCTGTTCATCCAATTACCAACAAGAAAACATGAATTCTATGCAGCAAGTAATAGAGCATGCTTTTTTCCCCATGAAGGAAGTTACATGTTATGACAATCTCAGCAAATTCAATTACATGATCAAAGCTCATAACTTTTTCACAACAATTCAAGAAAAAGGAAACCCTTTACACCAACCAATCACAACTGACTTACATATACAAATAAACAGTAGAAAGCAGAGAAAGAGAAGCAGAGAGATAACCTGAGTTGTTATTGTCGAATTTGCAGATGAGGCGAGATGGGGTGGCGGTAAAACGCAGTGGGAGGCTGGGATTGCAAAAGGGTCGTGAAGAAAAAGAGAGTTTAGGCAGAGGAATGGACACGTTGGAGGAAGTTAGTGGAATTGGTGAAGAAGGTATCAAGAACTTGCGTACTGGTGGTGGTGAAGCAGTAAGCAGAAGCTGCTGCTGCTGCTGCATCATTTTTTACTCAATATTTCGCTTTGCTTCGGTCGCTCGGCCAATTACATAAGAGAATTCGCGCTTTTGATGCCAGATTTGGAGCTTCGGTCTAAAACGCTCTCCAGGATTCAACGCTTTTCTTGGGTTCTGTCACATTTTCTGAACCATGTTACATTGCTTAGATCCTATTTCTGTATCTATGTATTTATGGTGGTGTGGGAATACTTTTGAGGAAGTAATTTTACTTATTTGGTTAGCAAAACTCATCTAATTCACGTGTGTGAATTTTCTTCTTTTAATGTATCCTAACATAGAGCAAGAATTTGATGCACTTTTACATGAAATGAAATTATGTTTGACTCATGCACTTTCTTGAATCTTCAGCAATGCCACTAGAACCTTTTTTTTTTTTTTTTTAATTTTGAACTTTAGAAGTTAGGGGTCTGTTTGGTTGGAAGTAAAATGTTTTTCTTGGAAAAATATTTTCCATGGAAGTAATTTTCCATGAAAATCATTTCCCTTTCATCATTTTCAGGTATTTGGTTAGTTTATTGAAAAATATTTTCTTACTTCATTTTTCTGGTGTTTGTTTAACTTTTGAAATATTTTCACTTTTATCTCTATCTTTACTTTCTACACATTATAACTACATACTTCTTCCCATACAAAATAAGAAAATTTATCTCATTGTTTAATTTTAAAAAATCTTGGAAAAATGTATATATGAATAAAAAATATCTCCTTAAGTAATAAACAAATTGCTGGCCATTTAGTGTCAAATATCAATCACATGCAATGCTTATTGTGACATATATCTTGCACTCTCACTGTTGAAAGTTTTTCTAGAAAAGAATGTCCCTATTATACATAATTAATTACTAACATACGATGAGCGGGATGAGGTTTTTTTTTTTATTTTGAATATACTAGGGGAAGGGTTGGGTAGTACGGGGGAGGGAGTATAAGGAAGAAGTATTGGATTCGAATCCTCCTGTTTACACTGAAAAAAAAAAAAGAACATATTACAAGATATTTTCAGTAAGTTTGGAACATACTATAGGGGGGATGCATGCATTTCGGAAAACAACTTCAGTAAGTTTGGAAGGGAAGTTGTTTTCCATAAGATGAGTGAAAATACTTTACATAGGAAAATGTTTTCAGTAACTTTTGTGCAACCAAACACAGGAAATTAGGAAAATATTTTTCTGGAAAATATTTTCACCCGAAACAAACGGACCCTAGATGTTTATAGGATGTAATATAACTCATCCTCTTCTTCAAAAAAAAAAAAAAAAAAGGTTAAATATCAAAAATCAAGAAATGGGTACCTAAAATTGTAATGTTATATCTTCTGTAAGTAAAATTAGTATCTTATAATGGAAAGTGCTCAAATGACTAGTAGCGATTGATTACCGGACAATCGAACATTATTAGTCAATATGGGGAAAAGTTGCAAAATGCAAACTAAACCTTGTTTGAATTGATATTTTTAGGACCTTTTGTAGGAAAATATATGTAATGATTTAATATATATGAGGTAAAAAAGCAATTGGGAAATGTATTCATGGAAAACATAAAAAAATTTTTTGCAGAAAATCACCATCCAAACAAGGCGTAATTTCCTTCTTAAATGGAAAAGGTCTGACATCCTATAATCTCTAAAACTAACAAGGACAAGACATCTGCCTATCTAGAGGGGAAGTTGGAATGGTGGCCCAATGGATTGAATTTAACATTTTGTAAATTTGTGCGGAACATTAATTCAAACTTGAAGTTTACCTCTATGGCCTTTTCTGGAATAGCCCAAGCTTGTGTTTCGGCCCTTTAGTTGGATACTTGTCATTACCACCAGGCCCACTTTCTTGGTTCACATCACTTCGACGAGTAAAATTCTTCAAAATTTAAGTTTAGGTGTAAGCTTTCAACGAATTGAGCCGTTTGCAAATTTATTGCGTTCAGCACATTCGATTTTTCAAAGACTCGATTATTTAATAAATGAATTGAATTTGAACATAGGCCTTGTTTGGCAAGCAAGTTTTTTGCCAAATTTGTCTGTTACAAGTTTTTTAATAACTTTAGTTACAGTAATCTTAAAAAAATTTTCAAAATTTTTAAACTGTACGCTTCAAAATATCTAAAAATTTGCACACTTCAAAAATTTTTTATATAACTTCTACAGTAAGTTACAGTAAAGTTTTAGATAAACATCCAAAAAACTCACTTGCCAAATAAGGCTATAATATTAGGCATGTTTAATAATCTAGTCTAACACGAATCTGTTCACGAACTATTTGAATAGTTCGTGAACACATAGATAATCATAAAATAAATAAATACAAATATAAATATATTTAATATTATTAAATATATAGCATATTTTACTAAAATACAATTAAACTTATTCTAAATAATGTACTTATTGAAAATATAATTAAATTACTTCCAAACTCAAATTTGAGCTCGAACTCGAACTCGGATTCAACTTGTTTAGTTTAATAGGGTGAGTTTGAATTAGAACTCAAATATCTATATAAATAAATGAGTCGAATTTGAACAACACTTATAGCTCGTTTAATATTCGAATCGAACTCGAATCCTATTCATATAATATATGAATAGAACCTAAACGTCAAGTATTATGTTCGATTCGTTTCGTTAAAAGCTCTAGATGTGAGAAGCTATATACTATGGAAGGTGAAAATGCACTTTGCATCCTTAGTGTTTGGGGGTTAGAACGACTTCAACCCTAATGTTTCAGCAGGAACACATTTAGTCCTTTAAAGTTTCTAATTTTAACCAATTGAGTACAATTAACTATGAATGTCTCAGTTTGGACAGAAAGGCAACAAGCAGAAGTTGGAAAAGTCAGTGCAGTATTATCATTCATTCTTCATGTGTTGTGTTCACTGTTGACAGCTGCCTAATGCCTCCTTGTCTTTAGAGAATGAGATTTGCATCTCCTTTATGGCTTCCTTGCATCTTCGTTCTGTTTCATCGCTATCTCTTTCTTACACAAGTTGCCATACATACCAGTTGATTGATTATTCTCCTTTTGATTTTGACTTCACTTTTATTCGAGCATGTCCATCGAAAAGCCTGAAGCTCGTACATCTCCTAGTAAAAGGACAAGAAGAACAATCATTGTGCATATTCAACGTTCAAAACATGAGCATAGAAGGGTTAGCAACTTTAGCATCCTATGTAAAAATTCTTGGGCATGTTAATTAAGATCTACATCTCCTAATTTTGTGCTTAAAAACGTGCTTTGGGGATCTGAGGGCTATTAACCTGTTAATATTAGTGCTGCATCTTGAAGATCATGCTAGGTCAGGTGGCTAGGTCACAGATGCAACCTTGCATGATAATTAAGCAGACTAAATACTAGTATAAAGTAGTATTAATTAAGTTCACCCACTATGATTAATTTGTTCTCTTTTCCATTTCTAATGCCTTGCGTGAGGTTTTGAAGATCGAGGAAGGTGCAACCATGAATCAGACAACTAATTAATTACTACTAATCACAGCTATCATGCATGCATGCATGAAGATTATCTTATTTTCTTTCTTACTGATTTGCGTGAAGTTTTGAGCCAAGTGATGCATACGTCTTACCATAAGATAAAGACGTAAGGATTGGGGGTTTTCACATTGAATTAGTGACGGAGCTACAAATGTATTATTGTATGTGGGTACTATATATTGCTATCTTACTTAATTAATATTAAAAATGACTTTTACTTTTCTTCTTTTTTTCTTTCTTTAAGAAGAATTTACTAAACCCTCGTGTATATATCTAATTTATATTTAACTTATCATATAAATTCATATATATACATATTTATTGTCTCGTTACGTTTTGAAACTTTTCCAAATTGATCTCATTTTTATAAAGATCTAATAGTATAGTATTTAAAATAGTTTTAACGAGTGTATATTAGACAATCTCGCACGCAAATTTATTAGTTTCGTGTTATATACTCCCTCCGTCCCATTTTGATAGTCCTGTTTTCCTTTTTCATCTATCCCAAATTATAGTCCACTTTTCAATTGAAGAATGTAGTTGTATTTTAATTTTTCTAAAATACCCTTATTCAATATAAGTTATTGTTACTATAAACCTACCCCATTTAATAAGAGTTAATTCTTTTTTTATCATCAATTCAAGTTCCCATAAAATTGTACTCTAATTAATGTGAGGACATTTTAAAAAAAATAACTACCTAAATTGATTGTTCCAATAAAATTAATTATTATTTTTTTAAATTGTATAAAAAAAAAAACTAGAACTATGGACGGAGGGAGTATGATTGATAAGCAGGATTTGAGGCACCTCATTTATGCACGTGATTTTGACCGACATTGTGGGCAAATGAACAACTCACCTGCTTTTGACTGATACTGTGCCAACCTTGATGAATGGGTGAAGGCTTTTTAAAGATTGAGACATTCTTAAAACGTGTACAGCCTCGAGTTTGGACCCATTCAGACACAAGGAATCTTGTACGGGTCCAACTTTGTACTACTTCGAATTTTTTTCTAGTTTTAATCTACATTTTTTGTATTTTAAGATTACAAGAAATCCACAATGTTGCGTGTAATTTAATCAAATTTCAAGGCATTATTAGAAGAAACTCGTGTAAAGCGAAATTTGAATTCAAGACCTCTGATTCTTCTGATCTGATTAAATATTAAATTAAATCGATTGAATATGAACAAAGTGTACTTTTTCACCGGCGAAAAGGTGAAATTAAAATGGATTCCTGTTCTTAATTTCGGCAAGGCATGGGAACTGGCACACAACCTGGCAGCTGGCCAAATCCAAGATTTTTATAGAATACTTTTAGGCATCAAGCTGTCCTTTTAGGTCGGTTAAAAAGAAAAAAAAAAAAGAACAAATCAAACAAGGGTTTTCTTAGAACAAAGAGTTGACATCAGCAATATATAATTCATATTGTTTGTATATGCAGCAAGTGGATTGTTTCCTCTTTTCCCTTAAACAATAGCAAGTGGATTTCTTCAGATTCAAAGTATGATGACAATATCATATTTTTCCATTCCATTAAGTTGTCTGCACACGGAGTGCTTCTTCTCTCTAAACTAAATATTTTATACTTCAGTTAACAAGATGCTCAGTAAAATGACAACAATTATATATTAAACGACAAATACAAATTAAAAGACGGCTCATCTCATTGATTTTAGGAATTTCTTTGTTTG